AGCATGGGCCAAAACTATACCACAGTTTAATTAGATGTTAAAAACAAAATGCAGGGAGAGCGGTTTAATATTTTTTCCAACAAGAAGGCTAAAACTTTACAATACGCTCTCTAAATTACAAATTTTCTTTATTGAGTGCAGATAAGCTGTGATCTTAAGAGATCACAACGTTTATTGTTAAGCAAAGATCAAATGATGAAGAAATAAAAGACAGTAAATGACTGTAATTTGCGTGTCTGTCCTCACTCTTCTGGCTCCACTGCTCCAGACTATTAACGGTTTTATGACGAGACTGTAACTGCGATGGGACTGACAGAGAGGCCTCATGTAAAAAGAAACAACCACAATTCAGTCACATATTGAAAGCATTTGGGTTATTTCCTGAGAACATCACTTTGATTGGGGGGCTATCACTCTGAGACAGCCTGCTGTGGGTGAGGAAGCAGAAAACATATGTTGCTGATATTTTGTTTGTCAGTCGTGTCAAAGAAAAAAAAAAAAAAGAGGAAAATGACTGAAGCAGGAGATTGAGACCTTACATTTCATGACATGCATTCCTTCCTTGACCGTAGATTGAAGAATGCACGTCATTGCTTTTATTCCACAACAATAAAGCCCCAACTTTATTAATAATTTCTGTTCTCACTTATCACAAGTGGAAGTTCTCTGTCAACAGCCAAGTAATATTCAAGCAAACAAAGGAAATAGGAAATGAGAAGATTTTGAGGTGGACATTGCTGCGACTAAGACGACCACAAAGAAGAAGCTGCTAGTTCCATTTTATTCTAAAATTGTTGTACATAAAGTAATGAAGAAACTGTTTAATGCAAAGAAGCAAATCTAATAAATAAGTGGAATATAGTGTCGGGTGGTATGCTCACCTTATACTTATTTAGAACCAACAAGCACAAAACTAAAATCCTAACATCAGACTGGTGCAATCAGCAAAGCTCCTTCTTGGTTGATTTTATGACCTAAATTTCTAAGATAGTCTTAACGCTTTTATTCTACAGCGCAGATTGCGTAACTGCTGATCTGTGGCAAAACAGCCATCGGTCAGGGGCTGGCTGTGGTGATGGTGCTGAGATGTTTGTCTAAGATAGAATGATAGATGGAGGAGGAGAAAGAAAGAGCAGAAAGAGTAGTCATTTGGCCGACGGGCCTGAGGCAATGAGCGATGCAAGGCCTGAGCCACTATGATCAGAGAGCATGCAGATGATAAGTCTATAAATAGAAACATGCAGCGGGAGGGACAAAGGCTATTTCCTTTCATATGATGTAAAAGAATGGTTGGACCTTTGTACTGTAATGAGCACTTAAAAAGCTGACCAGTTATCGCTGTCCAATTTCGGTTCAATTACACAAACTAGATAAGCATGCTGACTATTTGGAAAGGGTTCTGCAATGTTTTTATCAGTTGTGTAACACGATGCGAAAACTACATGCAAAGCAGGCGAAGGATATTAAGTTTGGGAATTTTTTTTATGTAAGTGAAAAAGAATTTAGTCATTTTTTCTGGGCTTGCAGCCAAAAAATGCAGACGTCCACATGACAGTAATTCAATTTCCATTTTAAAAACATTTAAATGTGACACAGGATGACAAACAAAAAGTTCAAAGAAGGGAATATCCACATTTTTACATTCTGGATGACCCGTGAAGATCTTTCCTTAACTGCATGGTTGCTTGATTGCAGTCATAAACCAAACTATTTTTGTGAAATAGTTTTTGGCTTCACTATAAGTGAGATGACCGTGTCACTGATAATTGCAGTAAATGCAGCAGCAAAAAGCTACATCTTTGTAAGCAAGCAGTAAGAGAGAAAACAGGGCTTCTAACAGAGGCGATAACATGCACAAGATGATGAATGCTTGGTTACATAAAACATCCTTGCAGGGTCAAGGTCATTTTACTTGCAGGCATTTGCTCTATTGCATTGACCCTCCCAGTGAGGTCAAACAAATGCTTACACACAAAAAAACAAACTGAAGAGACAAACACTCCATGTGGCTCCATAAACCTGTGGCCTCCTGCAATCAGACATAAGCTACAGTTGTAGAGAGTTCAGTGGCACAGTGCATCAACATCACTACATATGTGGGCCTATGATAAGAAGCATTCAAGTTGCATAACTTCTCTATCATTACCTCAGGAATAGTCATGAAGTTTAGCCTAAACACAGAAACAGGCTTGATGCAGCAGTTAAACTGTTGTGAAACACTTGCAATGTATGTGTGACTGAGTTATATTCTCACTATGACTCTACACCAGCTGCACAGTTTCAAACAAGGATGCATTGAGGCTAATTTGGTCTCTTGTTTACTGCGTCTTCATATCACCACAAAAAAAAAGTTTCCATGCAGGCAGGACAGCAAATCTCCAAAGAGAAGCTATCAAACCTCCTCATAAAAAAAACAAAAAAAAAAAACCCATCACATTTATTTAGTTAAAAGACAGACACAAAGAAGCAAATATCTCCTGTATTCTGATCTGAATATAGTGCATTAAAATGGCATGGGAGGAGAAATCATCTCTCTGGAATGGGGCCTTGCCTCATAAACGGTATTAAAGAGGGCACACAACAGCTTGCAAACACAAAATACAAACCATCCACCTGATCCTGGTGTGTACAGGAGTTAATGTATTCAGGTGACACTAAAATTAAATCATGCAAAATAAAGGCGGGCAAAACACAGGAAATAAAAGCTCTTGATATGCATAAATTCATATAGAGCTTGATTTGCAGCTGAATGTGGTTTCTGCATGGCTTGAGCTGGGTGTACCAAATATAAGCACAGCTTTGGTAAATGCCAAATGATCTGCAGTCACCTGCATCCTGAACATCTTGTGCAGTTCTGAGTGGGCTGAAAATGTTCACACACAAATAACACTTGGACTTTTTGTTGTTCATTTGGTGCCCTTTTCTTAAACTAATGTAGTCTAATACAACAGGGCTGCAGGAAACAACACATTCAGGAACATTATAATGCATGTTGTGATATTTTGTCCTTCCCGTTGACACCAGTGAAGGTACATTTAAAACTAAGAACCCTTTTCTACATCATGCATTACTTGTAGCTGGAAATAAATAAACTGGCTGTAACAATGTACAACATTTAGCCTTTTTACAATAAGTGAATATGATGTTTTTTTTTCACATGAATGCTTAATTTGCTTCTGTGTTGTTTGGCAGTCATATGCAGCTTCACACATTTTACATATTTGTTGTATTTGCACATCGCTCTTTGGCTCAGAATTTACCAACTATGTGTATCCTACTGCCTGAAATCTTGCAATCCATGTTAATCTGTCTGCCATACAGGGCCCAAGAGGATCCTATGTGACACATATCACCAAGAAAGTACAACAAAAACTATGTTTGTGGTGCTGGTTCTCAAGGGCCTTTTCCTCATCATTCACACTAAAAGTCACTTCCCCCATTGCAACGCCTTAGTGATTTTCTTCAGAATGCACTCCAACAATGTGAGGCGCAAACATCTGGCTGCTAGCAATATAAACTGCCTGCCATGCAGAGCAACCCACATTTATGCTCTGCAGACACGCCTGTTGAGATATTCATAACTCTTCCAATGCTCCAGCGGTTGTGACACCTTACACAGTTCAGCTGCATCACACAGTTGAGGGTTTGAAAATTAATAAACATCAGCCTTTGGTTCTGAAGGGATTTTTTAATATGAAATTAAGTTCAAGCACTGAATCTGCAGCCGTGAGCAGCTTTAAAAAAAGAGGTGCAGACTTGAGTCACATGATGTGGACTTCAGTCGTGAATCATGTCCTTTGACTTGACTCAACAAAAAAATCAAAAAGACTTGCGGCTCAGTTTAGCAGCAGAAAGGGAAGGTCTTTTTGGACATCACACAGCAGAGAGGCAGCAGACACGTCTTCACGATATCACATTTGCATATAAATTCTGCTGCTGTCTACAAAAACAAACAACATGCAAAAGATTTTTCTGAAAACTTTGACATGCATCACAACAGAAAATAGTGAAACAGACTTATTAAAAACTGCTCTGTCTAACAACTACGTGCAAAGGTATTCAGTTACTATCACAGACTAGACGATTTGGACAGATTTTTAGTTTAATCTTTCAAAGCAAATAATTATCAACTCATCATTTTAGCTTTGAGTGTGTCATAGAAACTAATGCATTTAGGTGCAACTAAAGTTGTTCTTTTAAAACTAAAAAAATAGCTCAGATTAACCATATCTGTGTTTAATAAATAAACAAATAAATACAATGACATTGCATTTGATAAATAGGTGCAGTAGGGCTTGATTTGACAGCAAGGCCTGAGACCTCATTTGCAAAATTAGCTTGAGCAGTGTTGTGCTATGACAGTTCCTGCATCCAGGCTGATGTCTTTGCTTAAAATATATTTAAAACTCAGTAGAAAATCTCTCAACTTTTAAAATCAGCTGTGTTCTGCAGCTTCACATTATTACTGGTGGTGTTTTATCTCCAGAACTCAAACCCACCGTAGTTTCAAGAACCTCATACAGGACTTTCATGATGACTTGGACAGGAAAGAGACACAAACCCCCAGAGTAATTATTTCATGCCACACACTCATAGCAGAAAGAGCTGACGTCTGTAAAAGAGCGCCGTGGCCTGAATGGCCGATGAATGCAGTTTATTTCACGGTCCGAATCCAGAAGCACACTTTTTGAGAAGTTATCAAATTTGGCAACCCAAACAACACTCCAAGTTCAACTTATGGTATACACCCAGAATTGCTCTCAGCCAATCAGAAGCTTCTTGCCTTCGCGCAGGCCAATCAGCTTCGGAGCAGGCGGGCTGCTCAGGCTGTTGCTAGGGTATGTCCCTGATGACTGTTATACCGCTTAGCCAATGAAATCGCACTTTATAGCTTCCGACCAAATCATTGGTTAAGACACACCCAACTACCCACCCATACTTGTTTGTCATTGGACAGCGGCGCTGTCACTCGCTTCCCTGAGTTTTAGTTAGGTGCTGTTGATAGTGTAGTTTGGAGTCACCAAGACTCAGAAGTGAACGTAGCAGCACATACATCGCTCTGAAACTGTTTTTACATTTTCATTCCAGTATTTTATGACTTGTAAATTAGTGTAAATAGATTGTTTCTATTTTTATAACAAGACAACAACGAAATGGAACTTAATTCTCTTTTAATTCTGCTGGAGGCTGCAGAGTACTTGGAGAGAAGAGACAGAGGTATTTCGAGCTAAACTGACAAGTTGACAGCGTTTCTGCGTTCACGGACATTTTGTAAATGGAGCATTAGGACGGTTGTTAACTTCATCTGTGATTGTGTGTTACGTTTTTAACGTGCCCTGCCATAGTGCAGGTATGATGTCACTTTATAGACAATGGGACACAGAGCAGGCGATGGGTGCAAACTGGACCCAGTAGCCTGAAATGCTAGGAAATAATAGCTGTAATTTATCATTTAAAGTGTGTCATGTGTTCGTGAGTCGTGTTCGCGTTGTTTCTAACACAGGTCAGGTTGTTTGTGTGTCCAGAATGCAGTAGTTTTTACATTATGATGTGGGGAAATGAGTAAACAAGAGTGACATTGAAAATATAGGGCAGCATCATAATTACTGAAAGTGTCTATGTGGCATCAATTATGTAAAATGCAGATCTTGCTGAGGCTGTACGATAGCTTGTATGGATGTATTGGAATCGATTACATTATTGATCGATCACGTTTTGCTCCTTTTGAATTGGCCTCTATAGCTATTTCCCCATCTCCCTAAATGACTCACTGCAAGCTTCTTATTTGTTTAAAAATGTGTTTATTCTTGCAGACATGGCAGTAAATGAACATTTGCTTTGTGTGTCAACAGAGGCAGAACACGGTTATGCGTCTGTTTTACCATACAGCAGCGACTTCTCCAGAAAGAAAACGAAAGCATCGCCAATTTCCAGAAAAACTCAGAACAATAGGTAAATAAAATCTTACTTATTCTATTTTTATGTTTATTTTATTTTTTGCATTGCATATGTTTTGTTTATTGTTAGTTTTGCTTAGATGCCAGCTCTTGGAAACAGACACCCAGTGAGAGGACAGCAGTTTTTCCTGCACACTGCCATCTTTCTGCTGCCTGGGCTGGGCTCTCTCTGTGTTTTGGTCTCTCCAATAAACAGTGCCACGCGTACACTGTCAACTCCGCTGCCTCCACTCTCTCTCTCTGTTTCACTCACACCTATCAGCCCCAGAGCACAAACACCCGACGTGCATTTAACCTCTCGTTCCTGCAGCCTCACCGATCAGTCACGCATGCACCTGTGCAAAAGCTTTTTAAAAACAAAAAACAAAAGAAAGTCTTATTTTCTTCATGCCCTTCACTGATGGGAAGCTGCACTCGCTTCTCCAGCAAGTGTCATAAATCGAAGCTTATGATCAGAATATCGATTGCTGGCCCATTGATTCTACGCGAAACTTTCGTTGAACTGACTTTCCTGCCGAGTTTGACCCCATTACTCTGCAACTAGCAGAGACGCTGCAAACCTAATTGCACTGCGTAAGTACATAAATGTGAGTTTCAGTTTCGGTTCAGCCTCGCTCTGTTGGACTTCTCGTTAAAGGCCATTTAAACATCAGCAGATTAACGTTTAACTCTCATATCAGAAATGTAGAGGCATCTTCAGTGTGAGGGTTGGCAAAAGGAGTGCAGCTAATCAGTGTTTTTATTACTGATCAGGCTTTTTTCACTAGTGAGTGTCTGACAACACTGAAAATTATCATTTAATTGTGATTGGTACTTTCTTTCCAACTAAACCAACAAAATAATGTAATTGCTATCATGTCTGACAGCATTTGTGACACATTTACGAGGTTGGAGTTAGTTAATGTTAGTAATAATTGGGAATTAAATTAGTTCAAATGAGATAATTAAGATATTAGGCACAACACACATTAAAAACACGCTTAACACACTAGTTAGGCCGTATTAGGTTGATCCAAAGGAGACTTTACATTGAGCTCTACGTTGGAGGCTATGTGCACATATTTGCAGGGTGATTTTGTCCAGGTTTGCAACAGCGAACTCTCTGAACTGTCTGTGATTTACCGTAAACAGGTTTTTGGTGAAGCTGTCTGGTTGGTCCAGTTCCTACACCAAAAACATCAGCGCATGACAGTCTGATTTTAAAAGAAAAATTTCCTGTTGGCAAATAATTGTCTGGGTAACTACAAGGAGGAAGTAGTACTTCAGTGGTAATTGTAAGAGTTATGTCATGTGTGTAGAGCGTGTTAAAAAAAACAAACAAAAAAAAAAACAAGCAGGTATCGCTCTTAAATTACACTCCTGTTCAAGTCGAATACTTTTGTAAATCTGAAACTGATATTTGTAAGAATGCAGTCCTGTCACATTCCTTCTATCCGGTCGCTGACAGTGTAACACGCTTATTTCATACAGGGTGTTTGTGTGGATGTGGCAGGTGGGTGCGGTGGCTGAAACAGACACCTACGTACGCTCTGTGACAAACACCAGCCCACTGGGCTTCGTGCACCAGGCCTGCTTTTCCCTCCTTTTTCTTGCGACTACACTGTGGGCAAATTCCCCAATTCCCTTTATACTCTCCTCCAGCTTTTTTAAGCATCAACAGGATGCTGGGGTAGGGAGGTGGGGTGGGGGGTAGCAAAGTAAAAACATTTTTCGTGCTTGGACTCCAACCGAAGCTGGCTGTTAGTTATAAAGCACAGTGATTTGCTTTGTAGAGTCAACAACTGGGTGCTATAGCGTTTGATATGGTGCTCCAATCTGCAGATTAAAACAGATAACGTGTTTTGCAACGGTGCAATATTCAGGGCATGTGGATAGAAAAAAAGAAAAAAAAACAGTTGGCATTCTATTTGTGTGCACAGAAATCCTGGTGGAGTTTCTTTGTTTACTTGTTGGCTGTGAAATCAAAATGCTTCTAAAATAAAAATTAATATCCAGTGTGACTTCTCTGTCACACTAAATATGAACCTAAAATATAAATAGCGCAGATGACAAGAAAAACCCAGCTTAGCTTCTCTTGCATCCTTGAATTCCTTCCGGTGACTGTAAGAAAACAAACAGGGCGCTGTGAGGATGAGCTTTTGGTGCCTTTACATCCAATTTAAAAGGCTATTTTACAGGCCTTTGATTATTAGGGGGCGAGTTTGTAACATCAGAGTCCTTTGCATGTCGCACCATGCTTTTACATAACATGTAAAGGTGTGTGCTAATCTGCTGTTATTACAGGTCTGTGAGCATTCCCTTCCTCTGAACGATTTCCTGGTCGTGCCCTGTGCTTTGACTGGGACGTTTCCCCAATTTGTGCAGGTTTGAATAGCGTCGCTTCCTCCACGGCGGAGCAAAGCTGTTTGTCGGCAATTTTAGATCAGGTTATTAGCCGCAGTGCAACATCCTGTGCTTCCTCCTGGGATGATTTTGTGCAGACGCCACATTACCCCAGTTGCACGGTCAACCTTTTGGTGCTGCGAACGGCGTCGTGGTGCAGATGCCTGAGCCTCCCCGGGACAGCTGTGGGAACCACTGCTTCACGAGCAGAAAAGGCTCCTCTTAAAGAGTGGAAAATCTGAAAAGGCTTGTTGTCAGTCTGACCCTTTGTTGGTGCTGTTTTTGTTTTTATTGCCGTGGTATCCATGACGGTCTCATGAACAGAGGGCCTGTTTCAGATGGACTGCAGTGCCCTCCCTGCTCCCGGCTGCGCGTCATAATAGGGGCTCTCCTCGGAATAGCCCACACGCTGAGGAATTCTGCAGCGTCTAGGCCTCCAGACGTCTGAGTGTGTTTTTATCCCATGTCCACGCCGCTGTTCAGCCAGCGTGCAGCAACAACACCAGGGTGTGCGTGCTGTTTGTTTGTGTGTGGGGCAGTAATGCAGTCAGGCAGGCAGGGAGGGGGGCTGTTGTGCAGTGTCACAGATATTGCTCTGTCTCAGGGCCATTTTTGCCCTCTGCCGCGTGACAGATGTAGCACAGAAATGGGGAAAAAAAGATTTTGTCACACATTCCCGAAATATGTGGCCTCTGCATGTTTGTGGCCTTAATTCACCCCAATATCATGGCTGTTGTAGAGTTATTACGATGCTTCGTTTCTTATGTGAAACTTCCAAAAGCCCTTGAGGCACCTGAAGGCAGAGAGAAAAGAAAAGACTAAGAAGAATCGAGGCCTTTCTTTGATCTCTTGACATATTTTTTTTCTGATTGTTTCTCAGATCTGTTACGGTGGCATTGTCTTCCAAACTCCCTTTCATCCGTCTCACATTTAGATCAAAACGTTAACTAAGCAAGGCTCCCACCATCACGCCGAACCTCTCATCTCGTACGATTTGAAGTTTTTGTAACCTTTTGATAGGATTTTGGCACTTTCTCCCCTGACGCTCATCTTTTTGTCATTTCAGATCATCACACAACGAGCTGGAGAAACACAGGTAAGTCGATCTCTGATGCCTCTACGTCCTTCCCCCGTCCGTCTTGTTTGTCTGATTTCTATTCCTGACACACTAAGTGAAAGAATCGTGGCTGCAGGTGAGCGTCAGATGTGTTCCTCTTAGTCATAAACACTGAGCAGATCGGATCAGGGGCCATCTTCAAAGAGCCAGAGATTTAATCAATTAATTCTTCATGTCAGAGAACGGATAATAAGCTGATTTCAAAGAGCACCTCGTGTTGATTAGATCTCTCCCCATTTTGCGGATGAAACTAGTTTCCTTGTATGGAAGGGGGAATCCTGTCAGTAATGTGATAATCCTGCACAGACTGACACAGTGAACGGAGGCGGGGGTGAATCTGGGCCTCGGCTGTCATTTTTTTCGAAACTCAGAAACCCACACTCCTAGCATGCACCTCAGCACAGCTCACAATCCTTTTTTGTCACTTCAGGGTACAACACTCACAGCTCATGGTGCGCTCATTAAAGGCACACACGACTTTGATTAAAAGAAAGAAGAAGAAAAAAAGTCCCTGCTGCTTGAAAGTAGTAAAACTTTTTGTTTGGGTTTTTTTTTTTTTACGTCTAGAGTCTGCGTTTAGGAATCAGCTGATGTGTCAGCATGTGAGTAGAGGCTGGAATGGGTGTGTTGGACTGCATGTGCGTGACACATCGTCAGCCACGTTGAGGGATTGGGGTTTGCCAGTCACATGTCTGGGAGTGAGTAATGGATGTGTGTAGCGCAGAGAGAAAGAGAGAGAGACAAGTAAGGACATATTCCTCACTGACCTGGGAGCCGAAGAAGGCCCGGGCTGATTACACTGCAGGTGTTGAGACACAACAGTTACCTCATGTCCGATGACGGGCGCGGTTGCTTACCAACCGAGTGACGTCCAGCAAACTGACAAGTGCCGGTAAAGTGTTCCATAATCAGTTTACTCACTTCCCTTGTCATCACTACTGCGGCCGCAAGTTTCTGAAAAAGACTTTTTTTTTGGTGACATACAGTGCAGTGTCACGACTGTCACGGTAGAACATGTGAGTTCTCTTGTTCACTAATGCAGTGACGTAAGCATTTAATAAATAAACATTTAGTTCAAATACGCTGTCATATTTCACATCCTCTGTAGCATGTGATGGATTATTCCGTTCACTCGTGTGCCTTATTTTTCCCCGTTTTTTTTTTTTCACCCTGGAGTGTTTGCATGGAAAAAGTTTCAACCCACTTATTTGTAATGACAGGCCGTGTGGCAGTGACGAGGTATCATTGTGATCCTTCCAACACGGTCCATCCTGAGTCAGTCCCTGTCTGAACTTGTGTCCTCAAATTACACGGTCGTTACGCCGACATACAGGTGTTAAAGGTTGAAACTGGGACTCCAGCGCAACCGTCTACAGTGCATGCAGTGTATTACACCTGCTGGGGCCGTTCTACGAAGATGTAGCGCTTGACTAGATGGTTGGTTGATAGGAAATTGCAGCTTGTTTGAGTCATTTACAAGCAAAAATGAAAAAAGAAATTTGCATGTTCTGGCTACTAAAATGTGTTTAAATTTTCTCTTTGATGAAGTTTTTTTAAAATATCTTTTGGTTTGGGGTTCTGGCAATATGAAGATGTCATTTTGTAATCTTGCAATGGGCCTTTTTCATTATTTTCTCCTATTTATTAGACAAAACAATTGAGGCTTTAGTCTGCTAAAGCAAATCTTGGTCGATTGAACCTACTCTTTAACCAGTCGACTGGTAAATGAGCCCCAGTCCACCAACTTCCTTATTCACTTAAATAAATTCTATGTCGCATGTGCAGCATATTTAAGCATTTTAACGTGTTTATTTTGTACTGAAACGAAAACAAAAGCTTTGCACCTGCCCACATTTATACAATTTCCGATAACACAGGAACAATTTACAGACATGATGATTTTTTTTTTCATTTTGGTTGTTGAGCTGTGATGTGAAAACTGCAGCAACCACACCAAAGGTTTATATGACATGGTGCCAATTAGTTTAGACTCTTGAGTAAAATGTTCAGTTAACACATGTCTTAAATAAGTTAGGAATTGGGTGAGTTTAAGGTTGTAAAAACGATCTGCGTATTTCACAGGTTGTCTGTTCTGCAAATGCATTTTTCATTAATCTAGGAAGGCTATTGACACAGCGATTTTTTTTTTATTAACAGAAGTAACAGCGGTTGTAGCCTGATGTATAAAAGCATATTGACGAACCAGATGACCGATCAACGCCAACGCTAAACGATTTGTGACTGAGCAAATGCTGATGAGAGGAACTGAAAGCAAAAGGTGCAGCCCTGTGCCGCTCAGAGGACTTTTGCCAACATCCTCAGTTGAACTTTATCTGTTGGTGATTCATAAGAAAACCAAAAGTCCTAAGATGACCTGTAAAACCAGTTTAATGAACGTGTGACCAGTTTATAGCTTCCGTTTAAAAGCTTCATCCCTCTTTAATCTACATCAGACCCGGTATCGTGTCTGAAATCTCTGCCTCCCCTCACACCCTCAGACGCCACTGCAGGGAGGTGCTGCTGTTTGAGGCCTGACTCACTGTCTTTGTTTATTCGTGTGTTGTGTTTTTGTTTCACCCCTTTGTAGCACACAGCAATCCTTGTTCTATATGTACACGTGGTAGACAAGTTTGCAGATGAATGTCTGGCTTAGGTGCAGACTGAAACTGACTTCAAAAAGAACAGTTGAACAGCGTTAACTTGCGTTGTCCTGCAAGTAGGGCTGGAGTGTCTTGGTACCTGATTTTCAGTAATGTTTTTTTCTTTGATTTGGCAATTTTGATATGGATCAGACACTGTTTGATCACAAATTTATACCATTTGATGCCAGCTGTCACTACTATTAAAAAAAAAAAAATCTTCTTTTTAAGTGACACATTTTCCTAAATTGTATCCAGGTTGAATACCTGGTGTTACTTACAAGACGTCTCTCTGTTTTAAGCATATATTACAATGCTTAGAATAATCTGCTGAGCATTTTTGTTTCATTGTTTGTTATTTTATTGTTTATAAAATCATGAAAATGCAACCTCCACCAGGGGTTCCAAAGAAATTTAGTGTGGCATCATATATGGTGAAGAAAAAGCATTAAATCTTACATTTTTATAACCCTAACATGAAACATTTAAGATTTTTTATACCTAAGATGTTACATTTTCTGCCAATCCGCTTATTGATTAATCAGCTAAGCCCTGTTGCTGTAGTGTAATGTGACGGTTGTCAAATGAAACGGCCCGATGTCCTGATGTGGACGTTAGGCTCAGTGAATGATCGTGTGCATGCTCGGTTCCTCTCGCGAAGCTGCCGATGCCTTGGCAGCCGCTCAGGAGGCGCCCTGCATATATTTGTGTCCTGTTATCAGAGTGAGTTGTCTGGTGGGTGGGTGCCGACTCCCACAGGGTCGTCTGTCCTGACACAGCTTGCTTATCTGCCACAGCCTGAGTGTAGCTGTGACAGCTCTGTTTAGACCATCACCAAGGATGATAGCGCTGCTTTTTTTTTTTTCTTTTCTTTTTTTTCTCTCTTCATTGCACCGGCTCCGGCCAGAGCTGCAGAGCATCAGCTTAGTGTTTTTTTGTGTAACCAATTGCTGCTATGTGGTTGCTCTCCTCTGGCATTGCTTCCTTCCCATTTCTTGACTTGAACCGCTCTCGATCGCGCCTATGACGACTCATCGTGCCACAAGTTTCCTTTTTAAAGCAACACCAAGAAATTGCGAAAGCGCGTACGTTTTGCTTTCCCACATCTCACCTGTTTACGGGAAATCTGAAACCGGCCCCGTAAGAACGAGCGCCCGGTATGTTTGCGCTGCTTCCTTCAATTTAAAAGGGATTCACGGTTCTATTTTTGCTCACCAACAGCTACCAGGTAGTCTCGGTTTCATTTCTGAGATGACTGAGATTAAAGCGATGCTCAAAGTTTGCAGATTGATTTCAACAAGCAGTGTTCTCTTACAGCATATATATACCACTGCGGATGACGTGCAGCAACTGTGGGGCACCTACTGAACTGGGCTTCAAATTTACATGCTCTTCGTGGACACGGGAGCGAGCGCTGCGTTTGTCACGGTCTAATCTTCCCTCTAATTAAATTTACTCTCCCAGTGTCTTCTACTCCCAGCTGTGATGAATGACTTATTTGGCTTTGAGGAGCTCTTTCCCCTCAAGTGAAGCTCGCCCGTGTGTGTGTGTGTGTGTGTGTGTGTGTGTATAAGCCTGGCAGCACCTCTCTGAGCTGTTTGAGTTATGGCCGTACATCAGTGGGAGGGAGGCCAGCACATAGTCCTGTTACTTTACCTCCTCGCCGTCTTACTCTTTGTCTCCCTCTTTCTCCAGAGACCACATCTGTTTTTTCTGTTATCTATTTTTCTTTCCCCCCTTCTCCTTATTCTGGCTCTCCTTTTCGCCCACTAAAAGTGTCTGAGTCAGCAGAAACCTGAGGCAGTGAGGAGGAGGAGGAGGAGGGGGGGGAGCTGCCTTCACAGAGGGCCTTTATCTTCACCCAGCAATAAAACTCATCTGTGCCCGTTTTGAGGTGTAACTTTTTTTTTTTTTAATTTGTATTCAAGTTAATCCTGTTGGTGTGCATTTTTTTTTTTTTGCGCATCGTAAACTGTACGGCCATTGTGCGTTAAAGCGTGCGTTAATCCTGTATTTTAAATTAAAGGTCACCTTTGCTGTATGGGCAAACTGGAAAGTTCCTTTATTTCTTCCAGCTTTTGCTTTTAGCGTAGCATCCACATGCTCACAGGCACGTGTACTTCACTTCCTCAGCTGTCACAATGTCGGTTACATTCCTCCTCTGTATGGCGACCTGAAGTCATGAGGATTGTGCATGCAGCGAACAACCCAGAGTTATGAATGATGTACGGTACACAACCTAATGACTAAAGCACCTGTAGGCCATGTGGTTATTTGCTGCAACATAAAGTCAGTTAATGTTGACCTGCTGTTAGACTGGACCGCAGCTGTGCCGTATTC